CTTTCTTTTTTCTAGTACTAAGAATTAAATCCAGGGACTTTTCACGGAGCTACATCTCCAAGCTTTCAAAAATCTTTTTGAGACAGGATCTTACTAAGTCGCTAAGTTCCCTAGGCTGGCTCAAACTCAATCTCCTGCCTCTGCCTCTCAGAGGTCTGGGATTACAGGTATGTGTCATTGTGCTCAGCCACAGATGGCCAACACTTAGAGGCTCTCCTTGAGTGGAAATTCAACTCTTTCAGCGAAGAGAGCAAGTAACAGAACAAAAAAGCCAGCCGAGAGGGGCTGATCTGCGCTATGGACAAGTTGGAGTTGGTGGAGGAGTTGGCACCAAGGCTGCAATAGTTTGCAGAAATCCTCAGAAACTTCCACTTGGTGTTAAACTCAACAGTGCTTCTCCTGGGCAAGTGAGCTATGGGGGGGGGGGCTGTGGCATTGCTTGGGCCCCTTCTTGTCCTTAGTAGCTTCGTGTGGCTCTACCTGAAGCTGTGTCCAGACACAGCAAGGTGCTCAGTTCATACAGAGGGCAAGATGGGAGTGGCAGGAAATCAGCAGCCCCGGCTGGGAGAGGTCCTTGTGGTTGCGTGGTGTGTGGGGGTGCGTAGGGATGGGGAGCACAACCCCTTCCGACTGGGGCACAGCTCTTTGCGGTGGTTGTTGCTCCTCCGCACACCTGGAGTCAGCTGCTCTTCTTTCCTTCTTCCCCATCTGCATCTCATTGCCAAGCTCTACTTCCATCCTGTCTTCGTTTCAGTGCTGTGCTCTGGAGACAACACAGCAGGGCGGGAGAGGTCAGGGCTCCCTATGTCTGACTCTCCATCACCTTTGGCTCCTCCCCTCTCCTCCGCCACTAAACCCTGCACCTGCTCCTGTCACTGCCTTATGCATAAAGGCTTCTGCTCCTACCCTGGACAGCCCCCTTCCTTTCCTAGGAAATCCTGGATTGCGCTTGGCTCTCAAAGACCCTCAAACGAGACACAGCTTCCCAGCATGCCTCACTCCAGTCCACAATCACTTGCTTTAATATTTTTCTCTTGCTCCAATGTGACTTTCACACTTTCTCACCTCGTCATTCATGCACAAGTTTTTCCCTGCACCCCAGATGGCTGGTGTGAAAATGCTGACTTCCAGTACTACCCTAGCCTCATTCCAACTGTTAGGAATACTTTTTCATTTGTTTCCATCGCTGGAAGGTCTCTTCCCCTTCTCAGAGTTAGAGGTGAAGACATGGATTTGGGACTTCAGGTTCTGTCCAGGGCAATGCATGGAGCCTGGCTAGGTCAGGCCTTGGGATTCACGTGGTGGGTGCAGACGTTCTGTAAGAAAGAATATCTGCAAGATTTTTGGGATGGCGACTATCAGAATTTCAGTGACAGCGCAATAACTCTTCTGTTTCGTACATTCAGCTTTATGATATTTTATGGGCATGGGCCTGGCTCTAGTGTGTTGAATGTCCGCTGAGAAATACAGTAAAACACAGGACAGCCTTCCCCGGGATGGACTGCTCCTTCCTGAGATCCTAACTCTTGCAAGTGCACTCTCATCTATCCCAGTGATACCCTTGAAGAGTTTAGATCACAAAAGTGAAAACTGTTGAGATGTGTGAGTTATAAAATCAGGACTTTATAGAGCACTTGGATGGAAGGCGACAAATAAAAGAAAGCATCTCTCTATGCGTAGTGGTTGCTACACTACAAAGCTAGTACCCTGAGATCAGAGTGAAACAATCCCTGGAGAACGTCTAGTGAGGAAAGGATGGTGATTTGAAATGCCTTGTAGTTCATCTTTGTTTAGAGCAAAAAGGAGTGTGGTAGGTGGTTAAAGGCATGGGTTTTGTGGGTGAAGATTTGACTAGAACTTGGGGGCAGTCCTGGCTCTGTCACTTGCAAGCTATGTGACCTCAGACAAGTGTAGTAGCCCTCTGTGCCTGTCTGGCCAGCTGTGCATGGGCGTAATGACTGACCTTAGCTCCGAGCACTGCTGGGAAGATCAGAAAATGAGTACCTGCCTAGCTTTTTCAGCAGCGAGCACTAGGCACCTTATTCATGTTTGCTATTATAATTATTCGTCTTACTATAATGGATGCTGTATGAGCAACAGCAGCGGTGTGCTGTTAGTGCTTCTTCTAGCGATTTTCTTGCTTGAGGGAATCTGAATGTCTTTTAAAATGCTTTTAACTGACAAACAGTTGTATATAGGTATCATGTACAACATGATGTTTGGAGTGGGAAACATTGTGAACCGGCTAACCAAGCTAGGTAACACAAGGATTAGCTTGCGTTCTTGTTACGCTAAATGTCTTTTTAAAAGCTTGCCTTGTGCCAGCCTGTTTCTCCCCGGGCTCTTCAGCCCTCACCGAGGCATGTCTTACTGAGTTTCTAATTTTTCTTTCTCAGTCACCCATCCTCACGTCCTCACAGAGGAGCTGCTTCTCCAACCATTATTTATGTGGAGTAAATGACGCCAGAAGAGGAGATGCTATGCTGAATACTTTATTTATATCTTTTATGTAAACATAATTTGCTTGGTAGGCACAATATAACAAAAGCTCTAAAGCCACAAACACAGTAGACGATGTTTCAGTCCCATCAAGCTTAACCTACAGAGAAGCCTTCACAGTTCCTTAAGGCAAACTGAAACGTTCTTTATACTTCCTTCCCTAAAAACAATCACAAGCCGGAAAAGCAGGTGCTTAAAATGAGAGTCCATGGAATGATTCATTGAAAGGTTTCTCCCTTCAGTCTTCATAGCAGAAATAGATGTTGTTGGCCAAACTCTAGGTCCCTCTTTCTGATTTCTCAGGATAGGGTGATGGCTGGGTTCATGTGTGGTTACTGGATTATCTTTTCTGGTTAAAAAGCAGATTTGGTCGGACTGACCTTTTAGTGTTTGCTCTGGACATTGTAAGAACCATCTGGATTCTGAACATGGTGAGTTCCCCCTCTCTTGGGGACAAAGGACCCTCATGGGGGCCAGTAAATTTTGACTCCTTCAACCCTAGAAAGTACCCTTTCTGCCCTACTTAACAAGAACACTACTTGGACAGTGGTTCTTTTTCTGAGCCCCTTTCAGCAGTTATGGGAGAAACATACCCTTTTACAAAGGAGTTGGGGGCTCAGTACCCCTTTATCTCTTTGAATGGCTCAGAACTGGAATACTGGTGAGCTCTGGGGTAGGGAGGAAGAGGATGAGCTGGGTATCCTTGTCTGAAAAACTGTCATCTTCCAGCTCACCGACTCTCAGCACCCCTGTTCACCTTCATGTTATACATGTACATTCACAACAAAGAGAAACTCCCTCCATATACATATTTGGCATAAATAAGTCATCATCACAAGCTTAGAAGAAAAAAGAACCTGGGGAAGGAAGCAACATTTGTTACAGAAAGACTTGGGAAATCAAACAGGAAATCTTCCAAATGCATTTGTTCCCGTCATGTGGGGGAAGAGCTAGGTCCACCCTAAATCTTATTGGTGGAGACACTGGGTGATGCAGGAAGCCTCTTAGGCCTTCAAGAATGCTAGTCGCGTGAGCGTGTGGGACCCTCCTACTCCTCCATAACACAAGAAACTTGGGATGCTGTGGCCCCTCTGCTTTCTTAGCTTGCTTTGTGAGTGACAGAATTAACCCTTTGGTCAGAAGGACTGGAAAAAGGGAACAAAGAGCCCTCTTGTGGACACACTAGGGTTCCTCTTCCTCCAGGGTAACTAGCTCAGGAGACCAGGCTAAGGTCACTGGGTGGGGCCTCATAGGAATTTAGAAGCTGCACAGTTGAACAGGGCATGCAGTCAAATAGTTTGGTCCCTGATTTACAAGGAGCAGGGGCCTTACAGAATCGGCACCATGATCCTGGGTATCTGAGGGGAGAATCCCACATCCAGCAGATGCTGAAGAGCAACTTTTTATCCCCAGGGATTGTCACATGTTGGAACATGCTTTGGCAAGACAAAAGAGAGCTCACTGGATTTTCCAAACCCACATGTGACCTAGGAGGGAGTTCTTTGGGGGAGGGTGGCAGCTTGTGACTAGAAAGGAAAATAGGGAAATTGGCAACACTGACGGTGTGTATGCAAACACGGGAGGGTGTTAGTAACGACATCTAAATTGGTCCTACACGCGAAGAGTTTTCTTAACATGAATTATGTATGTGGAGAGAATATGCTCCTGGCCTTGAGGAGAAATCTCTGCGACTCATCCTCACATGCTCAGTGTTGAGGCATCTTCTATCCTAAGAAACCCAGTCCTGCCCCCGTGTTTATGAATGAGAACCAGTGAAAGGACTCAGCCCCACAGGGTCAGACAGCAGCTCAAACCTACGGCCTTAGGATTGTTGGATGAGCACCACCACGTGCCTCATATAGGGAGAGAAAAAAAAGAACTATTTGGAGAGTTTCTACATTTCTGGGCTCACAAACTCCTCTCCTGGCCTTCTCTCTTTCTGCCAGCTGAATTGGCAAATGCTCAGGTCAGAGGCATGGGTAGCTGGTGGTGAAGAGTGTCACCGGCCAGAAGGGTAGGACCTGCATGGTACTCTGCGACAACACCTTTCAACCCAAATGTGTCCTTCTCTTATCCCACAGGCTTGGATTAATTTGCAAGGGTGTCCTACAGCCAACGAGAAAGACCCCGAGGTGGGTAGTTTTGGTACAGGGGAGAGGGAAGGGTGTATGTAGTACACAGATCAGGAAGGGCCGTAATACTGCATGGAATGGGATTGGCACTTAATTCCAAAAAACAACAGGGATCAACAGCTTCTTAGTTCAGCTGACTGCAGACAAACACGACACGCACTGGACTACAGCGTTTGTTCACCGGGGCACAGAAGAGTTCTCGCAGCTGGTCCTCTTCTCCCACAAGGTCTGCCCTCCGCGTCCTCCCAGCTGGTCCTAGCTTACTGGATAAAGGGCATCCGCTCCTTGTTCTCACCGTCGCCCTCATGGTCCTCCTCCTCTTCCCCCGCCTCACTGGTCTCCGTGCTGTCGTTGGCCATCTGGGATTCAACAGAGGACGTCACAGATGGCGCTGCAACCCACCCCTCACCCCCCCAGAGGCTCTGCCGAGGCCCGGGAGGAAAAGCTTCCTTGAGAGAGTTCCATGATGCAAGGGAGAATGCACTCAGGGGTCGCCCTTCCTCTCCTACCCACACATTCCCAGCGAGGAGCGGCTCCCTCCTGATGGATCGATGGCAGAAGCACACCGTTATCACCGCGGGACCCAAGGTGGCCTACGATGGGTGAGGTGACCAGGCCTCTGCCTTTCCTTCGTCGCCCTCTCAGGCTCCACCGACGCCCTCATTTCTGGACGCTTTCCTTAGCCCAGGTCCCTTACCAAGCCTGCATTCCCTCCCGCCTGGCTGCGTCTGCGCCTCATGGACCTCCGATCCCTCTCTGGGGTTGAATGATCTCTCTGCTTTGCACTCACCAGCGGAGTAGGTGTCTTTTCTACATCCAGAATTAACTTCCCGATGTTTCCTCGGTCGTGGATCCGCTGCATGGCCTCCTTGACCTATGAGAGATGGGGAGGAGGGAGAAACGCGCAGGTTAGGAGCCCTGGGCCAGGTGTAGAGGGGCCGGAGGAGCCAAAGCTCCAGATTCCCACCAGGGGGCGCTGCAGCCCACGTTTCCTGTCCCGACCAGGGAGGTAGGTTGGACTCCTGGGTGCAAAAATTCCAGTTGTGCCACCCACACATTCTGATCCCGTGCAATAGACCCCCGGGTCTAAAAAAATGAGAGTTACAGATTCCTGAAATAAGTGAATGACAGTTTCTTTTAAAAAAAGGGTAAGGTTCTCCAGAGTTCCAAGAGTTACAGGATGCAGGGTGGCAGGGGATGCCTGTCTGTCAATGTTTTGAGCAGTGAAGGAGTTTTGAGGGTCATCTGAACCCTTCTTCCTTCAGTGTTATGTAACTCGGATTAACGATTTGGTAAAATCCATCCCGCGGGGCTGAGCTGCAGGCAGGAAAATTCCTAAGATTCTTGATTATTGGGAAGAAAATTTGTCTCTACCTAGGGGGAAATTCTCTTCCACAAAGAGTATTTGGTCCCTAATAGAGGACTTAAGGTGCCTTTCCGGGGTTGGTGGCTTGCCAGACCACTGGATGTCCCTTGGAACCCGCTGAAAGAGGAAAGGTGTGACAATCCCTTCCTAGTGAGCACTTCCTTCCTAGGCTTTGGCTGTGCACAAGGTGAACAGTAGGAGGCACTGTGGTAAGTAAATCGGGTGAGGAAGGGGCTTCACAGAGCTCAGCTCTTGCCCTGGGGATTTTGTCCTCCACGTTTTAGTGAAATATTAAAGGAAATGCAACCACTCTTATTTTATTTTTGTATTTAGGAGAGGTCTACAGGGTCTCACTACACAGATCAAGCTCATAGTGATCCTCCTATTTTCAGCCTCCCAAATCCTGGGATTACAGGCATGCACAACCACACCCAGTCTCAGTCACCGTCTCAGCGCGCCCTGGCTGGGGATCAAACCCCAGTTCCTGCATCTGCCTAAGTAGGCGCTTTAATCTGCTGAGCTATCTGACTGGCCCTCTTAATTTTTTTTTTAGAAAAGAAATTTATGCTGGGTCCGGTGGTACACGTTTGTAATGTCAGCACGCTGACAGGAAGATGTCAAGCTTAAGCCTGGACTAGACAACTGCATGACTTAGCAGAACCCTGGGGATGTAGCTCAATGCAAAGACCCTGGATTCAGTTCCCAGGACATCATACACACACACACACACACACACACACACACACACACACACACACAATTATAATCGAGCTAGCCCAAATAGTTTTCTTAAAGTCTCACATTCTAAAATATTTGTGTTCATTTGGTCCACAAACAGTAAATGTTACTTCCAGGCTAGAAGCTATAATTGTAGGAGAAGTTTTTTCTTTTCTTTTTTTTTTTTTTAACCCTCTTTGTGCCAAGGACTGAACCCAGGGGCTTCCCAGCTTGCTAGGCATGCATTGTACTGCTAAGCCAAATCCCCAGCCCCAGGATGCTGTAATTAGAAAATAATTAAATAGCATGTCATGGTCCCTGTTTTGAGCAAAGCCTGTGGCTGACAGAGCAGTGTCTCCTTACAGAAAAACCGAACCTTTTTCTCATTTGGATACAAACCTGATGGAACCGTTAAAATGCTTGTATTCAAATTGCTTTTCTCAGAGTTTATTCTAAAGACATAATTCAGGTTTGTTTTTTTTGGGGGGGGGAGAAGGAGGTAAGGTACCACATAAGAGATACTCATTTTGCTTTAATAGCAAAACATCATTATCTGTCACCAAGAAAGGGGACAGTTAAATAAACAATAGTGCTTCTATTTATCTACTGAATGGAAATATTGTGCAGCTGTTGAAGAATGCAAAGATATATGCAACTAATTAGAATACACAGCAGGATTAAATGCTTTTTTAATACTGCTGAATGAGAAAATTGACACACATTTTTATTTACATCTTTATAAAACATGGATATTCTAAAATAAGCAGAAAGGGATACATATACAAATGCAGGGAAGGTATACTTTTAAGTCTAGTGTGCAAATATTACTGAGTATCATGTTATTAAATTAATATTTTAATTAAATATTTTTGGGCTGGGAATATAGCTTAGTTGCACAAGCAACTGCCTGTCAAGCAGAGGGTCTTGAGTTCAATTCCAAGTACGAATTAGATATATTTGTATTAGTTAGAATCAACCTGGTTTATTTTGTTTTATTTTATTTGGTACAGGTTTTGCTACGCAGCTCAGACTCATAGTGAGCCTCGTAGTGAGCCTCCTGTCTCAGCCTCTCCAGGGCTGTTTTATAGACTGGAAGTGTCCTATGAGTGTCAGATTTTCCTACTATAATATAAAATCCAGCAGCTTCATTGTATTTCGTTGGCAACTTTACTTTTTGAAGTTTGTCCACACTTGGTCATAATAATGGCTGCCATAGTTGTCCCTCGGTATCTACGGAGGAGACCCATCACTACCAAAATCTGTGAATGTTCAAGTCCCTTATATGCAGTGGCATTCTATGCAGGAGGCATGATCAACAGCATAGCGAATATTTATTTTTAAAAGTTGGCTAGACCAAAAGACACATCGCCGCCCCTGCTCCCCTCCTCCCGCTCATTTTGAACGCACTTATCCCATCACCTTGCTACTTTCTGAGGCAGTTTTGTGAGCCTTCTTTCATGAGTGTCTTTAGTTGTGCTGTCCTGGCTGCCTTGAGGACCTCAACTGATCCCAAACGTCCCCCACTCATGGTCATCTGGGCTTCGGGAAGAGCCGGAGCTCACTTGGTGCCAGGGCTGGGGAAGAAGTGGACAAGGGGCACTGCCACACTCCCTTGAGCCCGCCAGCCCACCTTTCCTGAGGGTGCCCATTGGCTGGCCACCGTGTCCGCTCATTTGGGTCCTGCCCTCATGCAGACTCCCCTTGCTTCCGGCCAGCCGAGCAGAGCAGAAGTGCGGGGACATCCCTTTCTAGGGCAGGCCGTGCAGGCTGTGGCCGCCACATGTCACCATTGCTGCACCAGACTCCCTCGCCCTGACGATGCAGCCAGTCATGCCGTAGAGCTGCCCATGTGGGCGGAGCGGGGGGACCGCAGCCAGCAGTGACCAGGGGGACCTTGGTCCGAGGGCCTCTGAGGAATTACCTGCTGCCACCCACTGACAGGGAGTGTGGCGTATTGCAGCAGCCCCTCAAGTGACCTGACCCCCACACGCCATCTCAGCTGTGGCCCTGGGGAGAGCCGAAGATCCCCATTAAGCTGCGGTGACATCCTTCCCTCATGGAACCCAGGAGCTCCCAAAGCTGGTGGGAACCAACATGGTTTGGAAACCCAGAAAGGGTTATTCCACATGTTCTTCCCTTGGGTCCACATTTCTTAGCTTGAACAACATATTATGCCCATCTTACAGACATGTACCCTGATGCTAAGAAAATGTAAGCAACTTGTAAGATTTACAGGTATTGGGGCAGAACTGGGATTCAAAGTGAGGCTGTCACTGGGGATATAACTCAGAGGTGCAGAACTCGCATGGTGCACACAAGGTCCTGAGTTCAGTTTCCAGTTTAAAAAAAAAGAGAGAGAGAGAGATTTTCCAGACGTGAGAGCCAGTGCTTTGTCCCCATTCCACCCAGACAACGCTGCTTCACTGGATTCTCAAAGGCAGAGGAAAGCAGGGAGGGGTCGCCCAGGTCTCACGTAATTGCTCTCTGGAATGTGGCTGTTTACCTCCCCACAAGCCATTACATACCTGGAAACTCCTTGGAGATTAGAAACAGTTTTTAAGCTGTTTCTCTAGTAATATGGAGCCCAGGGAAAGAGAAAAGCTGTTTTCTCACCAGTGAAAGCTTATTGTGATGCTAGAGAAAAAGCCCCCTGTAGCTGCCTCTAATCTGCATGTTTGGAACATTTCTTTCTGAAATCAACTCGCTCCTATGTGGAAGATGGAAAAGGCTGGGAGGATTTCTGAGAGATCACTTAATTCGTCTGATCCTCAGACATGCTGTTAGAATTTCCAACTTCTAAGCCTGCTCTCAGAGACAGGCAGGAACACTTCTGATGACAGCTGGGGACGAAATGGCCTTTCTTGATCAATTCTTTATCAGACACAGCGTATGCTGTTTACCTGTAACGCTTCATTTTTCTCTGCGTACCCAGCATCTTAGGTGCATGTTTATATCTGCTTTTTACGGATGAGGAATCCAAACAGGAAACTTGCCAGGGATCCGCTCTGGCGCCATCTGAATGAGGGTGCAGCGCCAGGGGGCCTGAGAAAGCTCAGGGCCTCCTTTTCAGAACTCTGGGTGCTGCATGGGGGGGGGCTCTGCTGGTGACACACCAAGCTGCTGTCATGCTGCATGCTGACAAGGTGAAGCCCCCCCAGGAAGACACTGCTCCCAAGTTGCCCACTTATGAACAATACCCTGGTGGGTGGGTAACATGACCCAGGGAAAGCCCACAGCCCCTGGAGCGAGAGCGTGTCTCCCCGATAGATTTTTCTAAGGCTTGCTCTTCCATCTGGCCTCCAGGGGAAGCGCAGTAGAACCGCACTGCCTCATCCCACGGCCACGCCACGCAAGTCCAGTGTGCCACATGCATTGGATTTCAAAGAATTCACCATCACAAAAGAGAACACCAAAGACCTGCTGACGAAAATTAAACATTAAAACAATAACGCTAAACATATATTGTGTTAAGAGAAACTCATGCAAGTTGATTTCCTGTGTGTTTCTGAATGCAGCTACTAGTAAACAAAGCTGTGCGTGCAGGTCGTGTCACTGTGCCTGACAGCTCTGGCTGCGTGCTTCAGGAGCTGATGGCGTCTGCTACCTTTGTGGCTTTGCTGTTCTCCTTGTTTCTGACACCCTTCTCTCTCACTCCCTGAGACGTGTGCTCGTCCTGCTGCATGTCCAGGGTCTCCTCCTGGGGCATCCTGGTCCTTGACCTAGCATGGATTTGTCCTGCACCTGTTAGCTTAGACACCTGCCTTCCAGGGACTGGCCCTTCCTCTCCACCT